ATGGTGGCAGTCTTCAGGCAGGTGGGAACTGTCTCCAGGGTAAGTGAAGTGTTAAAGATGTCTGCTAGCACCTTGCAGAGCTGATCAGCACATTCCTTCAACATATTTCCAGGGATGCTGTCTGGGCCAGTTGCTTTGTGCGGATTAATCCTCCTGAAGGTACTCCTTACTTCTGCTGAGGTTACGCTGAGATGCTCTTCATCCGGTGGTGAGTCTGGTGCTGGGTGGTCTGTTTGGGTTTTCAAAGCGTGCATAGAACTTGTTGAGGGCATCAGGCAGAGATGGGTCTTTGGGGCATTGTTCGCTCCTTCCTTTATAATCTGTTATGCACTTAATGCCCCTCCACATGCTCCGAGGGTCTTGTGAGATGAATTGACCCTCGATCCTCTGTGCATATGTAGCCTTGGCTCTCTTAATACCAGCAACCAGCTCTTTTCTTGTCCTACTCCGCTCCTCTGAGTTTCCAGACCTGAAGGCAGTGTTCCTGACTTCCAGCAGGGTACGCACCTCTGCATTCAGCCAAGGTTTTCTGTTTGGGTAGCTTTTAACATTTCTGATAGTGGAGACGGTGTCAGTACATGTACTAATGTAACCCAGAACTGAGGATGTGTATTGGACTAGATCAAGCGATCCTCCATTTTCAGCAGCTTCTCTGAAAACCTGCCAATCTGTTCGGTCAAAACAATCTCTCAGTATGGGGCCACTGTCCTGGATCCAGCATTTAACTTTCTTTTGTACCGGTCTGGAGCGTCTCAGCGGGGGCATGTAAGCAGGAGCCAGGAAGATTGAGATGTGGTCTGACAGTCCTAGGTGGGGGCGGGGTTCGGCTTTGTATGCATCTTTTACGCTCGTGTAAACACGGTCCAGCGTCTTGTCTCCACGTGTTGGAATCGTCACATGCTGATTAAAGCTTGGGAGACAGTCCTTTAGATTCACGTGGTTAAAGTCTCCGGCTACCATGGAAAGAGCCTCGGGGTGTTTTCTCTGCAACGAGCTGATGATATCATGAAGCTCCTGTAGTGATTCATTAGCATTAGCGTCCGGAGGAATCTAAACAACTGTGATGAAAGTCACTGTGAACTCGCGGGGTAGATAATGTGGCCGGCATTTCACTGTTATTTGCTCCAAAGCCTTCGAGCATGAGCTATTTACAACAGCATAGTTCGTGCACCAACCTTTACTCACGTAAATGCATACTCCGCCTCCCCGTGATTTCCCCGTTAGCTCGCTGCAGCGGTCCGCTGGAAAAAAAAGTCTGTCATTCAGCTGGAAGACTGTATCCGGCGTTTCGCTTGTAATCCACGTGTCCGTGAGGCAAAGCACCGCACACTTCTTCATCTCTTCTGAGGCGCCTGTTCTCAGATGAAGTAAATCCACCTTGTTGTCCAACGAGCGGACATTCGACAGAAAGAGAGACGGCATGGGGAGTTTACCGGCTTTAACGTTAGCTCGTAGCCTCACCATAACCCCTGCCCGGCATCCTCTCCCCTTAAGCCGGGAGCAGCGCTTCCTCTTCTGCCCACTGGAACGTCTCTGCTGCAGCTTCCAGGTAGATGACTTTAAGATCTGCACTCTGCTGAGCGTAGTTTTGAGTTTGTTGATGATTTCTGCTATATTTCGTGGCAAATCCGCTCCTATTCTCATCAGTTCGGTTCGGCTATAGTTCACACGCATAAATCGCGCGGAGTCAGGCACAGAGTCAATATCAAAACTTCTAAAAACTGGGATGGTACCGGGAGCCTGTGAAGCTGCAACTGCTCTGAGCGTGGCCATCTTGGCATGGGATATATCATTATATATATTATTACATATATTACATATATTATATATATTATTATGTATATATTATATTATATATTATACATATGTAATGAACATATACCTGTCAGATATTATTCATAATTTAAACGGATTCTTTCATTTTTCTGGACTGAGTTCTATCGTGTTTTGAATGATTAAATGTGGACGGAAACGTGTTTTAATTTCTGACTCACCAACAACAGTGAGCCGTTTAATTAAAACGATTTAAAACACATCACACATTTACAATAATTGGCAGATTGATTACAATAACAGCTTAATTAACTTGCTTTACAATGAGAACCATACGGCCATGGTATCACTTGCAGCTTTACAACAGACATTTCTGAAAATATCTGGATTAATTACTGGCAGATAGAAGAGTTTTAAAGATGGGAAAATGAAGTTTAAATGGAGAGAGATGGTGTGTGAGGGAAAATGTGTCGACGAAGAACGGCACCCTCCATTCGAACCCAGCTCTACCTTGGTACACTTCGGTAGTGGAAATCGATTCTTTACCTGTAGAAGATGTCTCCACTGGTACGGAGTTCCATTTAACGCTACCTTTCCAGCGTCTCCGTAGGATAGCAGAGAACCGTCCGGAGTAGTGACGGTACTTCGTTCAACAGCAGCTCACCTCACGGGTGGACTCACATGAGCTGTGAGTCCGTCAGAGGTTCCACTCAGATGTGGAAGATTCCATAATCCCCACGAGACTCGGAACTTTGTTCTTCCTTCTGGAACTTTGTTCTGCGTAGTTCCCGTTGTTCTGCATTCTGCTTGGAACTAGGAAGTGTTGACCCTTTTAAAGAGGTCACTTCCGGTTCCTCTGAGAACTTCCTGATTGGTCGAAACGAACCAACAGGGGTGTGGTTTTAGTGATGTAAGAGGGTCATTAAAAGTCAAGGAGAAAGAGTAGATTGTTTTAAGAACAGACAGAAAGATGTTTTGAAGAAATTAGACTTTTTGGAGCCAGTCCTCTTCTATCTATCTGAAAAAGTTAAACATGACATTTCTTTCCAATAAACATGTTTTTGACCGTTCCTTCACTTTTGACCGACTTACAACTTGCTAATTTCAGACAGAAAATCAAAAATGCATCATTACTCTTGTAACAGACATTAACTTGATTTCTACTTTGAATGAGGATTAAAAATCATTAATACTGTTTCACAGTTGATTTAAAATGAGTAGTTCACTTCAACATTTAAAATGGTTTGAACTAAACACACTTTTGATTATCAAGATATTGTAAAATAGTAATGATAATAAAAAGAGAGTGTTCTTTCAATTGATCAGTGCAGGATACAATTAGAAAGTCTCTGGATGAGCTTAATTTGTGTTTCTGGACTCAAATCAATGAAATAACAGTTCTTGTCCCAGGAAGGCCCTCAGGGCCAGATTTTGACCTGAGGCTTAGTTCACTACACATATATTACATATATTATATATATTACATATATCATTATGTTGGCTAATCTTGGGGGTGCACATGATACTCAGTTGAAGAAAATATCATGTGTAACTAGGACAGGAGGAGCTGTGAGTGATTAGATAGAAAAATGTGGCCGTTGGCCTGCCCAACGGAGGAGGGCACTACCTCTTAGTATAAAATCTAATGTACAGCTCATCACTTTCAGAATTGTTGGGGCAGAGCAGGCAACAACAATTCTCCAGATCTGTACGCTTGTTCATACATTAGTGTGTTCAGAAATAAAGTGTTGTTAATTCTAAAAGAAAGACTTGTGATCCCTTCAAGCAAACCAACCTGGGGAGGTCGTCGGAGCAGACAGGACCTCAAAACAACAACTTAACAACAGAGAACTGAAGCACATGAAGGCAGTGGCAATGGAGATAGTACTGGGGAAGGTGCAAGTGGTATGGGTGAGGGTGCGAGCTGAGCCCCCCCCCCCCCCGCCCTATTTACATTCAGGCATAGTTTGGTTTACAAATTAAGCACTGATTATGTTAAAGTACTAATTAGTCTCTTTAGATTGATTTTTTCAATTAGCTTTGTAGAGATCTAGTAGAGTGCTGTATGAATGGGTAAATGAGGCACAGATTGTTTTGTAAAGCACTTTGAGTATCTTGATCAGATAGAAAGGCGCTATATAAGTACAGTCCATTTACACCTCCATAGGGGGTTCCCCTGAAAACCTCCACTCTGAGACCTGGACTCAGAAACCTTGAGTTTCAGAGACTGTTGTGTGTAAATGAACGGCCGAACGTTTCACGTCGTGTAAACGGGGCCTCAGACTGGCTGCCCTGTCTGTCAATCAAGAGACAAATTTCATAGATGGATGATCGGCTGACGTCTAGTTTGTTAATGCCGCACTATCTACCCATAATACCTTTGTGATCGACTGGTTGATCACGATCGACTGACAGGTAGATTGCGATCGACATATTGGGCACCCTTTGGTTAGACTGTACTTAACCAACAAAATGAATTTTAGAGAATGAAACGTGCAGCAGTGTTTATTTAGAATAAATCGGATGTAATCTGATTTGCATTGGCCTGAACTGGAATGATCATATTTAATCTTGGAACATTTATTAAATGGCCCCAAGTCCTCAGAAACTTTGCTCTTTTTTCCTACTACCAAAGTGATTTCTAAAGAGGGGGTTTGGATGCTACCAAGTGAAGTTTCTTAACACGATCTCTAGAAATCAAACTAAATTTTTGCTACGCTGTGCCAATTATATCAGGCCTTATCAGTCTGTGATTGCAGGGTTTAGATATCTGTCACTGTTAATGTTTGGATTAGATGCTGAAAACTTTGATGGCCTTTGTACTCTGCTTACCCGTTCTCAATAATGGAATAGGTTGGGTGATAGTTGGGGTTATCGTATGGTGCAGCTCTGCAGGACTCCACAAACATCTCGGTGTTGTTGACTGAATCGCTGGCGTCTAACTGCATGTAAATCCTCTCTCCGATGTCATAGTCCAGAGGGTAGGAGTTTGGACTGATCATGGTTCTGAACTGATTGTCTGAGTAGAACTCAAACTGATAGGTGAACGTGCCGAAGCCTTTTTCCCACACTGTGACATTCTTTCTGTGTGCCGTGAAGCCCAGGGTCACATTCCCACGCTTCTGGTACTGGCAGTAGAACCGGGCTTCTACCAGGTGCTTCCTGGTGATCAGTTCATTTGGGGTTTCATCCACTGATGTGATCTCATTTTTGAAAATGAGATAATCGTCATCTTCCTGTAGAGTGAGCCATTATGGGTTAAATGAATAAAAATGACAGAGAAGTACTGTGGGGGTGTACAATTCAAATTCTGAAAAGTTTTGACCTTGTATAAAATGTAAATAAAAATAAAACAGTGATTTTCAAATCTCATAAACCCATCTTTTGCTTACAGTGAAACAGTAAACATATCATATGTTTAAACTGAGAAACTGTACAATATTTCAGGATTAAAAGGTCTAAAATTGTTTTAAATTTAATGGAAGAAACACTAAAAAAGACAGGACAAGGGTAACAAAAATCCAGAAAGCTTGTAACACAAGAAACAACTGATGAGGTTAAATAGCAACAGGTCAGGAAGCGGTCAGGTTAGAAAAGGAGCATTTCAGAGACTGGATCTCTCAGAATTAAAGATGGACAGATTCTGAGGTCCTCATCTACAGTTCATAATCTCATCAACAGCTTTGAAGAATCTGTAGAAAACTCTGAGCTCCAAGGACGAGGCTGAAAGTCTCCATAGATCATTGACATGCCATCCACTGTTTAAAGCTCTATCAGACAAAAAAAAAAAGCCAGATTTGAACACCATCCAGAACTGTTGCCGTCTTCTCTGGACCAGAGCTAATTTCAAATGGACTGAAGAACAGTAGAGAACTGTTCTGTGGTCAGATGGATGGACATTAAAACTCTTTTTGGAGACTACCTGAAGGCAGTTCCTATTATTATCCACCCATAAGGGGTCTTTCTCTTCTATCAACTTTAATGAGGCCTGAACCACAATGTGTCCCCCCACAAAAGTTATATCAAAATGACTGGCTCGGCACCGTGATGTGTGCAATTACTTTTATTGGCATTTTGAGTTACCATGGCAACATAAATAGCAAACAAAGACGTCATTTTTCTTATTGAAGAACACTGACAGGACTCATCACAACCTCTAACTGCAGCTCTGAGGTCACATGACCTAGAGTGAAAAGGTCTCTGAACAAAACTCATCAAGTCATTGAACAAACTCTTCTTACAACCACATCTTTGAAGATACACACCCTACCCCACCCCCACCACCACTACTGGACCGCCCACTATTTGTGTTCCTTCATCAGTTGGTTTACAAATTCAGCCCTGCACATACATATATAAAAACGTAGGCATTTTTGTCATCTAAATTTTAAAATGGCTGCCACATAGCAGTTCCATCAAAGTTTCTCAGAATTTGTATGAATGCCACATCTTCTGTACTAAAAAATGAAAAATGTCTTTTCAAACACATTTCAAAAGCCTGCATCTCTGATAGTATGGGGGAGCATTGGTGTCTATGGTATGAGCAGCTTACACATTACAAAACTATATACAGTTTTTATAACATAGGCTCTCATCCAGCAAAGAAGAGTTAGGACTTCTGATCAGCTGGATTCACCATTTTCCTGAATAGTGAACCCCAAGTATTTGAAGTCCTGCACATTTGTGACCTCTGCTCCTTGTAGTCTCACTGTTCCACCGGCCTCCCTCTCATTCACACACATGGACTCTGTCTTACTATGGCTGACTTTCATTCCTCTTCTTTCAAGTGCATACCTCCACCTCTCCAAGTTCTCTTCCACCTGTTCCCTGTTCTCACCACAGATCACAATGTCATCTGCAAACATCATTGTCCATGGGGATTCCTGTCTGACCTCATCTGTTAGTTGGTCCATCACCAGAGCAAACAAGAAGGGGCGCAGAGCTGATCCTTGATGCAATCCCACCTCCATCTTGAAGCTATCTGTCACTCCTACAGCACATCTCACCACTGTCCTGTCCTGCTGTCCTCATACATGTCCTGCTGTCCTCATACGTGTCCTGTACCAGTCAAACATACTTCTTTGCCCCTCCAGATTTCCTTATGCAATACCACACCTCCTCCCTCGGCACACTGTCATATGCTTTTTCTAAATCCATGAAGACACATTGGAGTTCTTTCTGACCTTCTCTGTACTTCTCTGTCAGGATCCTCAAAACAAAGTTGTATCAGCATGACTTCTCAGTGGTTTGCACTGTTACCTCACAGCAAGAAGGTCCTGGGTTCAATCCCCAGTTTGACCTGGGATTTTTCTGTGTGGAGTTTGCATGTTCTTCTCGTGTTTGCATGGGTTTTCTCCGGGTACTCCGGTTTCCTCCCACAGATCAAAAACATGCATGTTAGTCTGCCTTCAGGCCCAGGCCTTCCTTGCAAAAGAGATCTGTTATCTCAATGGGATTTGCCTGGTTAAATAATTCAATTCAAGTCAAAAATACTTTATTAATCCCAAAAGGAAATTATTTTGTTGTTGTAACTCGTTATCCTCATTTCATTAAGAGATGTTATAGATACTGATGCTGTAGACTGGAAGGATCTCTTGTAAAGGTCCATCCCACAGTGGATCCTAAGAAACTGGCTGCAGATGTTGTCCTATCTGTCCACCCAGACTCTGCTGGTCTCTCGGTTTCCCCGGGCTGTAGGACCACCCAAATGCTGGGCAGAACTCTTCCCAGTGCTATTGCCACTCCTCCCAGCAGCCTGCCAAGCTCCTCATCACTGCAGACAGCCAACTGTAGGTGCCGAGGGACGAACCTGTCCTTCCACTGTCATGAGCCGTGTTTCCTGCTTGTTCCAGGATCTCAATGGTCAGGCAGTCGAGCACAGCTGGCAGGTAGATGAGAATGCGTCCACAGAACATCCTTTCAACTCATTTGAGATTTGGGGCTGTAGTTGAGATATTATTTGAGCTTTTGAGATGTTGATCAGCTTTTGGTTGTAGAAAACTGCCTTGTTGCCATGGTTACGCATCATAAAAAATGTTCAAAACTAAAAAAGTTTCAGTAAAAATCCTTCCAGCTGCACAGCATCCAATACCAGAGGAAACAATCATCCAGAAAATGTGCTTTACATCCAGAAAAAGAGGGATTAAAGTTTCCAAAAGCAAAATCTCAGAATGAAAGAAACAGAGATGCTCCAACATGCAGCCACCTTGAGCAGCACAATTCTAGAACTGGTTAATATATAAATAAAGATGGAATCTGTGGTGCTCTTTCTTGGCATGAATCCATACTGCTGCTCACAGTCACCTCGTCTAAATCTTGCTTCCACAACTCTCTCCAAGATCTTCATTCAACTTAATACCCTTGTAGTTGCTACAATTCTGTACATCACCCTTGTTCTTAAAAATGGGCACCAGCACACTTCTTTTCCATTCCTCAGGCATTTTCTCACTCTCAAATATGCCATTGAATATTTGAGTTAAAAACCTCACTGCCATCTCTGCAAGACATTTCCAAACCTCCACTGATCATCAGGTCCTACTGCCTTCCCCTTCTTCATTCTTTTCAGAGCTTTCCAGACTTCATCATCACTAATCTTTCTCACTTCCAGGTCCACAGTTTCTATGACCTCTACTCTTCTTTCTCTTTCATTCTTTTCATTCATTAGCTCCTCAAAGTACTCCTTCCATCTTCCTGTCACACTCTCCTCACTTGTTAGAACATTACCATCCCATCCCATCTCATCTTTAACAAGCCTAACCTGCTGCACATCCTTTCCAGCCTGATCCATCTGCCTTGCCAGTCGGTACAAGTCCTTCTCGCCCTCTTTAGTGTCCAGCCTCCCATACAACTCATCATACGCTCTCTGCTTTGCCTTAGCTACTTCCCTCTTTGCTCTACGTCCCATCTCCTTATATTCCTGTCTCCTCTCTTCAGTCCTCTCACTGTCATATTTCTTCTTAGCTAACCTCTTTTTTTGAATAACTTCCTGCACTTCACTATTCCATCACCAGGTTTCCTTATCATCCATTCTCTGTCCAGATGACACACCAAGTACCTTCCTACCTGTCTCTCTAATTACTGTTGCTGTAGTAGTCCAGTCATTTGGAAGCTCTTTCTTACCATCCAGAGCCTTTAACAGCTCCTCTCTGAATTTCTCACAACATTCGTCCTTCTTCAGCTTCTACAATTTGGTCTTCTTCTCTGATTTGTCCAAAAAGGCAACTTGAGGTAAGTTTTATTAATTTTGGATAAGTTTTAAAGTTAGAATTAAATTCTGCTAACACAAAACATGTTTGTTTTTATTCCTAGCTTTAAAGTGGATATTAAAGTGATTAATTTTAAGTGATTGTTTAAAGTTATTTTATATTTTTTTAAATAAGGGGCAGATATAAGATTTTTCTTCTTTCTGCACTCTTTTCATTCAGTGTTTTCTTTTTCATGATTTTTTGTTTGTTTGTTTCTTTTAAATGAATGAATTAAATTAAATAAAATGTTAAATGGCTTCAAACACCTGTTCAGTTCATGGCATAAACCAACAGACATGTTCCTGTTTTTAGTATTTTACATCACTTTATAATGTAGCTGGATTTTTTTTTTATATATAATTTTCAAATCTAAGGTTTTTTTAATGATTGTTTACTGTTTAACTGATAAATATCTCCTGGAGGGTAAACTATATCTTGGATGCAAATATAAAGCTGTGAAATCCTTCGTTTTCTAAAACTGATAGTGGTTGGTCATGAATCATGATGTTTATCAACTTCTCTGTAAACATTTGAGCTCCGTGGTTTCATCGATGTCTATTTCTTGTTCAATCTGAAGCAGCAGCCTGATTTGAGGCAGCCGCGCTCAGTCTGTCCCTCCTCAGAGACCGACGGACTGAGCGGGGCAGATTGGACGTGGCTGACCGGGGTCGAGTCGCTTCTTTCCGGTTGAGTAAAGAGCAGCGCCCCGCTGAAGCCCCGGAGCTCGAATGACCATCGTAAAACTAACTTTAACGTGGTTTAATGTGGCGCTATGGCTCTGCAGACATTGCACGTTGCTGTCTTGTTTTGTGTGTTTAGTGTAAAATACTTCCACACAGCGGACATGTTTAGATGAAAAGTTTGTTAGCTGTTAGCCACAGTGCTGCTAACTCAGTCCTCACGTTGTAGCTGCTGCAAACTATGAACTGGATTTCCTGAATGTGAGGTGGGTCTTATTACTCTGGGTTCATGAGACACGCCTCCGTTCAGGAAATCCATTCCATAGTTTGAAGCCAACATGCATCATGGATCGGAAATATCGGCAGGAGGATCGGAAAATCCGATACATAAATTATGCTGGTATTGGAGGCCCATACTGAATCGGATCGGCCCCATCGCTAATATGTATATATATATATATATATATAAGTAAGCAATCCTGCTAATTAACTTTAGTTCACCATTAAATGTCTGATGAATCAGATTCTACAAAAACATATATATTTAAAATTTTATAAGTTTTCTTCATCATTTCATGTATTTGCACTCATTGTGTCTAGTTTTATTGTTCAGTTAGATGTGTGGTTTTGTTTCTTGTTCACATATATTTATTTTTATTTTTAGCTTTGCTTTAAATTTCTTATTTTTTTATTTGTACATTTGTGGGTTAAAATAAAGTTGAACTAAAGGTTGTATCTTTTCTTTAAACATGTTTGAGGGAAATATTCCTGAGAGATGCAATAATTTTGTGTCTTTTCATGATTTTCAGCTGAGTTAACAGTCATTAAAGTGAAAACAGGACTTCATGATAAAGCTGGCACCGTTTATTTGATTGTTTTTTTAATCATCAACGCAAACCCCCCCCCCCCTTATTTTTATTTTTTTTACCAGCTCTGCTGGTCTCACTTGGTACTCTCCCGTGGAGCCTCGGAGCCAGGACGGTAGGGTGTCATCTTCCTAGCTCCGAGCTCTACTGGTGACTCGCAGAAGGCCATTACCCAGACCCCAGCTTCGTGTAATCATGAAGGCTGAACTCCACTTCCGGCAGACAGGTGGACTGGGATTGGTCTGGGACGGACGGTGGAAGCAATTTTTAAAAACGTTTTATGTATATATATAAAAAAAATGGTTTATTTAAAAAATCACTTCCAACGTCCGTCCCACACCCGGTCCGCCTGTCTGCCATTATTCGTGTTCGTCCTTCATGATTACACGAGGCTGGGGTCTGGGCAACGGCTTTCTGCGAGTCACCACCTCGTATGATCTTTCGCGGTAACCAGCAGAGCTCGGAGCACGCAAAGCCGGGATCCAGAGCCCGTAAGTACCTCGGAGGATCTTCCATGGTGACCAGCAGAGCTCGGATCTGGGAAGGTAACACCCTGCCTGGCTTGGCTACGAGTCTCCAGGGGAGAGGACCTAGGTAGACCAAGTAGAGCTCCATCCAGCTCGCTCTGAATTTTGCTGTCGGCCACCAAGCACAAAAATGCCAGCACTTCAACATTAGACCAAGGTGTTGTCATTATTGTTTTTAAAATCTTTAAAATAGGTCCAGCTGCTGCTTCGGTCCGAGAAATTGCAAATGGTGGATTAGTGTTTTGAAATGTTTCTGAAAGATCCGTAACTCCGCCACCGACCAATCAGTGACCGATAGTGTTCTGACATCATGTTTTCGTACTTACTTAGCCCAGTTGGAACCACAAAGCCAAGGGTTCTGAGAAAAGGGATCAGTTCTATGTACCATTACTAATGGAAAAGCCTTGGAACCAGGCTAAGTCGAGTCCAGTCAGGCCGTACTGTTACTAATGGAAAAGGGGCATATGTTCCTCCCTCTTTTAGAAAAAGGTGTTGACTACAGCCATTTCTATTCTCTTGGCAAAATCCACCATCTGTCCTTCCTGGTTTCTTTCCTTGACACCAAACCTACCCATCACTTCCTCATCCCCTCTGTTTCCTTCACCAACATGTCCATTCGGGTCTGCTCCCATCACCACTCTCTCCTCCCTGGGAATACACTCTATCACTTCATCCAGATCTTTCCAAAATTGATCTTTCGCTTCCTCATCACATCCAACCTGTGGAGCATAACCACTAACAACATTTAGCATCAGACCGTCTATTTCTACCTTCAGACACATCACCCGTTCTGACACTCTTTTCACCTCTACTACATTATTTGTCAACTCCTCCTTCAGGACCACCCCACTCCATTTCTCTTTCTATCCACACCATGGTAAAACAGTTTGAACCCTGCTCCAATGCTGCGAGCCTTGCTGCCCTTCCTCTTGATCTGTTGGATAAATCATCTACCTTTCTTCTCTGCATCATGTCAGCCAGCTCTCTACCTTTGCCTGTCATTGTCCCCACATTTAGAGTTGCAACCGTCAGCTCTACATTCTTGACTTTCCTCTTCTTCCTGTGTCTCCTGCCACGTTTCTTTCATTGTGGTTTTCGACTAACATTAGCACATTTTTTGCTGGTACCCTGTTTGACAACAGCACTGATGGTGGTCGTTGTTAACCCGGGCTTTGATCGATCCAGTATGGGTTCACTTTGATGAACTCGCATTATAGTTTTGGCAAAAGTGTTTTATGTCGGATGCACTTCCTGACACAACCCTCACCTTTTACCCAGGCTTGATACCAGCAGAAGAGATACGCTGGCTTGTGCTCCCTAGTGGCTGGTTTTTCAAATTCAAATTAATGATATTTTAAAATGTTACAATTTCTTAGTTGAAATGTTGTATATGTTTACAATGTTCCATTGTGAATAAAATATAGTTTCATAAGACTTGCAAATCACTGCACTGTTTTTTTTTTTTTATCTTCATTTTAAACAATACCCCCAGAGTTGGGGTTTTATCAGATGGCAGGTGCTTACCTCAATCTGAGTGCCACAAGCATTGAGGGGGATGATGGCAACCAAGTGAGTGTTGTTGGAGTGTCTCCTAAGGTTGCAAATGGTGTTGGTGGGGTCACTGAGGCAAAGATGATCCTCATTAAGCCCAAAGAAGGAAGACCTGTCAATCTCTACTTTCATTATGGATTCAGTGCAAGTCACTGTGGCCTTAACTGGAACAAGGATAGATATGAATTAGTCAGCTTCAAGGACTGTACAGAAAATGAATCAAAAAAGCAGCAAATATAAACAAACAAACAAAAAACCCTTTAGGAAGTCTGAAAGACTTTGATCAAGAACAGTGAAAGATAAATGGTAAATGGACTGTACTTATATAGCACCTTTCTGTCTAATAAATATACTCAAAGCTCTTTACAACACAATCTGTGCCTCATTTACCTCAACACACACACTCACACAGCTCTCTACTACATCTCTACAAAGACAATCTGAATCTGTAGAGACTAATCAGTGCTTTAGATCATATTCATACATTGATGGGACACACATGAGGCGATGAGGGGTTCAGTGTCTTGCCCAGGGACACTTCAACATGTGACTGCTGGTGGAATTGAACCCCCAACTCTCCCATTGGTTGACGACTGCTCTAACCACTCAGCCACAGCTGCCCCTGTTTTGTAAATTATGAGAAGTTCAGGAAGAATTAAATTGCTAGCTTTCCTTGAAAGAATCAACATCACCCAAGTTTTAGACAAAAATCATGTCATATTAAGAAGCTCTTTCTCATAAGCTTGAAAATAACTTCATGTGATTTCAAGTCGTATCCTCCTGACATGCCACGCTCAATGAGTTTTGTGAATGACTCTCAGCTACTACCAGATCGAATTAAAGCTCAGTTTCTGTAAATGTTACAGACATGTTTGTTTTGCCTAATACCAGTTAACTTGGGAGGCCATCTTGAATCAGAGTCCAAAGTTTAATCATTTGTAGTTTCACATTCAATGAAGACTTCCTTTTAAATGGACTGCACTTGTATAGCGTTTTTCTATCTTATCAAGATACTCAAAGCTCTTTACACTACAATCAGCTGGGGCGGCTGTGGCTGAGTGGTTACAGCAGTCGTCCTCCAATTCAAGAGCTGGGGGTTCACATCCACCAGCAGTCACATGCCAAAGTGTCCCTGGGCAAGACACTGAATCTCTCATTGCCTCTGATGTGTGTCCCATCAGTGCATGAATGTGATCTAAAGTACAGATTAGTCTTTTTAGAATGATTTGTTCAATTAGCTTTGTAGAGATCTAGTAGAGTGCTGTGCGAATGGGTAAATGAGGCACAGATTGTTGTAAAGCACTTTGAGTATCTTGATAAAATAGAAAGGTGCTATATAAGTACAGTCCATTTACCATCTTTGCCCTCATTTACCCATTCATACAGCACTCTACTACATCTATACAAATAATAATCAGAGCTTTATCACATTCATACACTGATGGGACACACATCAGAGGCAATGAGGGGTTCAGTGTCTTGCCCAGGGACACCTCGGCATATGACTGCTGGTGGAATCGAACCCCCAACTCCTACATTGGAGGACGACTGCTCTAACCACTCAGCCACAGCCATCCGCATCCAATGAAACCTTAAAGTTTCATTAAGACCTATTGTGTGGTTTGAAGATATTTTGCTAATAGGCCGACAACGTCTAATGTTGAAACAAGGATCTTGCACAATTTGTTTCTAGTTTAGACTCACTTTGTTCCTTCTTTACGTCCATTACAACGCACCTCATTTCAGACTGATATATGGAGGACCTGAAGAGCGTCAGAAAATCAAAATATTTACACACTTTAGGTAAATGAAACGTGTTTTCAAGCAAATGCAATATTTTTCCTGTAAATAAGTAATGAACGGTGCATGTTGTTGATATGGAGGTAAA